AAAAAAAAAAAAATGGCTTTGCCCAAAGAAAGTCTGGCTTTGCTCTTGACTCCCAGTGATTTTAAGGGTGAGGCGCAGGCCACATCTGACAGTCTTAAGATGACTATGACAGGAAAACCAACAATGTGACTTAGAGCCGGGACTCTGGCTGGCTCCTACTCAGGATTAGGGACCAAAGACTGATCAACCCTGTGGTCTATCAATGAGTCACGTCTACCTCATGAAGCCCCAGTGAAAACTCTGGACACTGAAGCTCAGTTGAGCTTCCCTCACCAGCAACACTGTGTCTCTGTGCAGCTGCCGTGTGGGTAACACATCCTTTCCAGGGAGAGGGAATCCAGGAACCTTTGCAGTTAGAACTTCCCAGACCCTACCCGATGGGCCTCTACCTGTAGCTGACTCTAATCTGTGTTATTTCCTTGTTATAAACGGAACCCATGAGTTTTGTGAATTCCTCTGGAAAATTGCCAGGACAGAGGTGGTTTTGAGGAACTCCTTGAACTTGCAGTTGGTGTCAGCAGTGGGGGCAATCTCGGGGTATGCCCTTGAAATTTGGAAGTCTGACTACCTCTGGGTCACTTATAATAATTTTCAAAAGCCAGATTGGTTTTATGGTTTCTTTCTTTCTTTCTTTCTTTCTTTTTTTCTTTCTTTCTTCCATCTTTTCTTCATTCCTTTTTCTGTTTGTGGCAGAATTGGGAGCTGAAATACCCATCTAAAAGACGTGTGAATGATAACGTATCATGAATGTACTCTGATGGGCAACTTTATGGCAATAAATTTGAGAACATGAATGAAATAGACAGATTCCTTAAAAGATGCACACTACCAAAGCTTACACCACAGGAAAGAAAGAAACTGAGTTCTTTTATGTCCTTTAAAGAACCTGAATTTGTAGGTAAAGATATTTTCCACGGGCTTTTCAAACCCAACATTTTCAAAGCTTTGCTCCTGCAGTCATCTTCCCACCCCGGCAACCTCATCTCATGTTCTCTACTCAGTAGACATCCATTCCATTTTTCCAGTTTCTCAGGCCCAAACGCTGTGGTTTTCCTTGACTCTTCTCACAAACCACATCTTTGTTCAAGATCTAACCACAAGTAGACTCTTCCACCACCACTGTAGTCCCAGCCGCTGCTAAGTCTGCATGGATTGTTGTTATAGCTTCTGAACACTGGCCCACTCCTACTTTTGCTTCCTACAGTCTCTTCTCCCTGGTAGGAGGATCATGCCCCTCGTGGCTCATACCTGGAATGCCCTGATGGGTTCCTGCCTCTCTCTGAGCTTGCTCCCACCACTGACCTCTTGCTGGCTCCTTCCAGCCACAGTGGTCTACTTGCTGCTCTTGAGATGCACCTTGCCTCAAGGCCTCTCCATTGGGGGCTTTTCCTTCTAGGGGGACCATTTCTTCCTCAGATACCCTTTCTATGCCCTTGCCCTCTATATCAACTCCATTCTCCTATATCACCTCTTCCCTCTTAGAATAGACATTCCACTAAAGCCATTGTATCTATTTTGTTCACCACTCAATGTGCACCACTTAAAACAGTTCTGGCACACAATAGGCAGGCACTCTATAACTCCTTGAAGAGTAAATTAATGGATGAAATCCTTTTGTTATAAATGAAATTAATGGATGAAATCTTATTATTGGTTGTGACTTCCCAAAATTAACTCATTTCTTTCTTTCTTTTTTTGGTACTGGGGATTGAACCCAGGGGTGCTTAACACTGAGCCACATTCCCATCCCTTTTTTATATATTTTATTAGAGACAGGGTCTCACTGAGTTGCTAAGTGCCTCACTAGATTGCTAAGTCTGGCTTTGAACTCAAGATCCTCCTGCCTCAGCCTTCTGAGCCACTGGGATTATAAGCGTGTGCCACTGTTCCTGACAAATTAATTCATTTCTGTATTTGAAGTTCATGTATATTATCACATATGTGGCTTTGTTTTATAATCTATTTTTCATGTATGGATTAGAAACCCAAGTGTATTATTATATTCTGTACCAAAAAAAGAGTAGATGTCAAATCGTACTTGGGTCTGGTTAAACAGCATGGAGAAAGGCATGTCTGGCACCGTGGGGTTGACAGTGCTTCCTCCCAAGGTCCTTCCTATTGGTGGAGAAGCTGGTAGCCTTGTGGATTCAAACAGACCAGTTTCCTGATGTCCAGTAAGAATTGGAGGATAAAATGCTAAGAATAATAGATAGCACTGCTCTTTGGAGAGATAGGCAGCTATTTTTGATTTATGGTGCATAGCTATTTTGGCACATTACAGTCCTTTCATAAAAGTGAAAAGAATTTGGGGGCTGAGGATGTGGCTCAAGCTGTAGCACGCTCGCCTGGCATGCATGTGGAACCCAAAACTGAAAAATAAATATTAAAAAAAAATTTTTTTAAAGTGAAAATAATTTCTCTCCCTTGTGACAGTTCCTCAAAGTTCATGGCTTTGAATTTGTAATCCTCCGGCCTAAGCTTCCTGACCTGCTGGGATTACCCTTCATGAGATAAAAGCTCTTGTCCCCAGATTTGGGCACAATATCACTTCTAATACAAATGCTCACTTACTGTATAACTTATCTCCCCGCTTTATCGTGAGACTGTCGAAATGTATTTGAAATGTGTGCTCATGTTCTTGACGGACTTTGTGTTTTCCATATTCCTAGTATTCTCTGTCAGCCAAAAGAAGCACAATTAATAAGTTTGAAAAACACATAGCAACGAGGGAAAGGCAACTTAGAACGGCAGAAATAAAGCTCGAGCATGACGCAATGGCCTTTGAAGAGTTCCTTCGAGAAAATGACCAGAGATCCGTAGATGCTCTCAAAATGTTAGTGTTATCTTCACTCTGGCCAAAAACCTCTCCCCACTTTGTCTGTCTTAGTTTCTCAGAATACGGCACGACCCCAAACCGACCCACAACTCTCTGTTACTTTTCAGTGCAGCACAAGAAACTATAAACAAACTTCAAATGACAGCAGAGCTAAAGAAAGCCAGCATGGAGGTGCAGGCCGTGAAGAGGTGAGGGCAGGCTCTAGCTTCTCATTATCCAGTTCCCGCCTCCCACTGGAACCTGCTCCTGTCTGGCTGGACCTGAGTGGGAGCAACCCCTGTCTGCTGATGATGTCATAAGTGTGAACAGGTTTAAAATCAGTAACCTGTCTCTGCCTGGGCATCAGTACTTGGCCACTCTCGGAAAAGGTTCTCTAACTCGTAGACACAGAAGTAAAGAAATTAGTTGAAAAGAAGCAAACCGATGTTAGAAGTACACAATAAATCATCTTCTAAGTGCCCTTTCTTTTAGTCATCTTAGAACATATTTTTCCCGACATTTTAATACCTCCAAAATTAGGATTCATTTTACAATTGCCCTAC